TTGAAGTGCTCCATTTCTACTATTCCATTTACATTAGCACCTGTTAAAGACAAACATAAATCTTGGTGATGCAAATCACTCAATTTAACAGTGATAATGAGGTGGGTCCTGGCTTTAAGGTGGTTATTTTAAGCTATAAGGAAAGAGCTGTACCATTTCCTAGAATGAAATTGTTTCCTCAGCTTGAGGCATTAAGAATGCAGCTGGCAATAATTAAAGATCTGCATGAACATAGGAGGGGGAATGACAGAAATTGAATGTGTAAGCCATAACCTAAAGTCCTGTAAGCCTTTGGGATCCCTGGCCCTCCTGCCCACAGGCCTATGTGCCCGCTCCTGACGTGCGCCCGCCATTTTGTTCTTCAGCAGCGCCCTGGGGCTGGGGCCGAGAGGCTGGTGGTGGAGGCTCCAGAGGGCCTTCACGTGGCTGAGGTGTTCCTCAGGCCCTGTTTGCTGCTGCTGTCCACAAGCTAGAAATGCAGGAAATGTTCACTGGGTCCATCTTAGGCATTGCAATGGGCTGCCCAGGGAAGTGGCTGAAAAAGTTGCCAGACACCCTCCCCTCTGCCTCCCCCTGCTGCAGAGCACAGCTCAAACGCAGAGGAAGGATACTTAAGCTCTGCGAGGGAGATGCAGCCGAGGGAGTGATACTGAGATGAAGACTTCCCCTGCTGTCAATGAGAGCATTTCTGCCTCAACACAGGAAGCCACATGAGGGAGATTGCTGAGTGACTCGGCTTCCTTTCTGAAGTAGCTGACGAGCAGCTGCCATGCTTCAGTAAATCATGTTTGATCTACTCCCTTATTAAAATTTGGGTCCAGGTGGTTAGCATAAAAGGATCTGTGTAGTTAGTATCTTCCTGAATTAATTTATTCTGGTAACATGGAGTTGAAAAATTCTTGTTTTGATACACAGTCTATTTCTGTTCTGGACATTGAGGCTTTGGACAAAAGGATAAAGTACCTGACATACTGAGTAATGACCTGCTGTATTTAAGCAGATGTTTTGGGGCACTTTCTTTCATTCTGGAACATACTCAAGGTTTGCATTTGATAACAGGAGAGTTTTCAAGCAATCCTGAGTAGCATGATTCATAACAGAAGGATTTTGTCAACAGTGAGGTCAAACCAAAAAGAAGAGGGAATTATTACTGGTTTATCACTTAAGCTAAAGGACTGGCATGACCTGAATGGATGAAATTGGACCTGTGTACTTGTGCACAAGTATGAGAAGTGTGTAAATTGAGGCTGTGGCTGCATATTGTGATTATATCCCAATGGTAACAGTAGGATGGCTGTTGCAGAGAATGTACAAATTTTGCAACAGTCTTAACTGAACAAAAAAAAAAAATAATAAAAAAATAAAAAAATAAAAACAGGCATATGTTATTTTGGAATACTATCTGACCCAGTTTAGGACTTTTCATTTGGCAGTGTATTGTAGTAAATTAAATTAAGTGGGATGCTGAATCAAAGCCAAATATTAAGGCAGACTGTTGGCTGAGGGTTTGTGCAAGAGACTTCGTTCCAGTTTGTCTTCACAAAACGTATGACTAAGCCATTTTAGTCTGGGGGTTAGCTGGACTGCTTGTATCATTCTTAAGATTTATGTAAATATGGTACAGGCAAATTTTATACAAAATACTCAATATCACCTTTCTTACGTACTCTGTACTTCCTGTCTTATGCTGAAATACATTCATATTCATTTTCTTTGGGGAATAAATTGAGCATGAATGTCATGCTGCCATCAAAGTGTTGTTTATGTTGACTTAATAATTAGCCAGAGAAGACAATAGTTCTGATCCAACCCCAAAACAGAGCCTTGTAAGGAGAGCAGTCTGCAACCAGTCAAGTGATAAAAGCAGTTCAGCGGTGAAAGCCAATAGCCTCCCAGAGCTGTTTCAGGTGATTGGATCAAACAGAAGAAGACTGCAAGCTGTGAAGTAAAACAGGGACTGGATGTGCATCCCCTTTCCCAGCTCCCTGCTAGGCGAGTAACCCCTGCTTGATTTTCAGGTTTGAGGGAAAGCAAGGCTGTTGTTCTGTTAAAGCTGCCTGTCTAGGCCATGCCTGGCCCACAGGCCTCCGTGCTCTGGGGGAAACCTCATTATGACTTCCCTAGCTGTTCTCATAAGCTTAGAACCCACCTTAAAATGAGAGACCTTGTGCAGGTTAAGCTGTATGAAGATATCTACAGTAATATTACATGATTTTAAGAACCCAGTTTTTGCTTCTGGACTGAAAGAAATGAAATTGAGTGGTAGAGAGAGTTATTCTCTAAATACACAAGCAAATCTAGACATTTTACTTTTGACCTAAGTAGGACAAAAGATATGTAAGGACAGTATAGGATTTGGGAAAAAAAAAAAAAAAAAAAAAAAAAGTTCCTTGTACTACATTGTGGAATCTTTTTGCACATTTATTGTCTGATCTTGTTAAGTTTGGAGAGAGAGTGCAAAGGCAGCTCCTGTTTCAGGTAATTTTAAGTTGCTCTCCCCATGCCATGTTAACAGCAACATTTCACATATTGAAGTACTACTGTGGAATTTTGTTAGTCCGGTTCTTGTATTATTTAGTACTCAGTCCTATAAAAATTTACAATAGTGTTATTTGGTACTGCTAGCTTAAGTACAAATTCTTCTAATATACTGTGAAAAATGATGCATGGTAAATAACCCCATTCCAAGAAAGAAGGGCACACACAAAGCACAAACATGTCATGGTAAGAATACCACACAGGGCAGCAAAAAGCTGCAGCTGATGGGCATTTGGTAACCACATAATTTAGCTCAACAAATTCTATGGTGTACCACTTCCTTTGTTGATAGACCCATAATTTTCAGAGGAGTCTGTTCTTTATGAACTGCTTCAAAAGCTGGACTAAGAATATGTATTTTTCTTTTCTTTTTAAAGAAAAAGAATTTCACCTAACGTTTTGTAGAGCAGAAGAATTAAGTGGGTATGTTTCATATTTATGAACTACTTTACAGCAACTGAACAAATTCTCTATACTATTAGAAATATATACTATTAAAAAGAGCCACCTAGCCAAGTCATATATAACTTAGGGTAATGTACCCTTTACTAGTTGTCAGCTGCAGTCTGAGTTGGATTGAAAAAATTTTCCCTAAGGCATGACTTAGTGAAAAATAAAATTGTGCCTTTCCTAGATTAGATGAAAAGTGTTTGCTGTGTAGGATGGAAAGATCGCACCAAAAGACTCTTTTCCTGTGTGCTCTGTGATGTCCTCCACTGTGGTTCGTCCAAAATATTCAGAAGTTTTAGATTCATTCATGGATATTAAGCTTTTTTATAGAGCTATAATTAAATCTATAAATGTGCAAATGGTGCACTAAGCCTGCAGTGCACTAACTTTAATTTGGCAGGGAATAAAAATAAGATCCTCTTTTCTGAAATGCTAAGCACGCCCCAACTTTTATAAATAGGTTCAGAGCAGCAAAGCCTATCACAAGAAATCCTTTACATTTTCTAACCAATAAAATGTATAGGGAAGCAAAGTGATTGTAATTCATTCTTTATTATGTATTTTTATTAATAAAGTATTGTTACTTAGGGCATGCATAATAACTGAAATAAGTTTGTTTATCACAGTATTACAATGGCAACTCTCTCTGAAACGTGGAATTTTTGCACTGTGAACTGTGTTTACTGCTACTGCAGTCTTGTTTGAGATAAAAATCAGATCTCCTCTATAAGTCAGGTTTATAAAGCAATCCACCTTCAAAAAGAGCTCAAGAAGATTTTGGCACAAACTGCATTCTTAGCTATAAGTTATGTTACACCAAGAGATGTCACTAGCAAACACAATAGCAAATTTTAGCTGCTGTCTGAATGATACCTGGAAAAGGAATAAAGGAATTCATCATCCAGCAATTATTTAGAAGCCAGACAGTAACTGTGAGTAACAGAAATGTAATTATTGTTTCTAACCTTATTTGTTATTTTTACGGGAAAAAAAAATATAATAATAGCTCCTTTTCCTAAACAGAATCAGTCATGCTTATAATAAAAGGGTTTCATTTAAAACCAGAAGTACACTGGAATGCCAATGCATGAAAGGAAGACAGTCAGTTGTCTGGGTCAGGCCGTGCCAGACTGGTTTGTGGCTGCCAGTCTTTGTTCACCCCCATTCTGCCCATTTAATGGGGGTGAGCGCCATAGGAATGGAGTGGAGCATGTGCTCAAGCCTCAACTATTCCTGTTTCAGCTAAAACACCAAACTTCTCACCAAAGCAGATAAAAGGGGACACTGGAGTTTGTCTGCCAACGCTGTTGTTAGCAGTGGGATACATAGCGTGAAGCAGCTATAGCTGCAGCAGTTCCTCCTGGGAGATCACGAATGGAGATTCTGCCTCTCAGGACGCCGTACCCACGGCAGGTGCAGTACAGCATGCAGGAGGTACAGCCTCTGCGTTTTCCACAAGGTGACAGTTTCATGACAGTTTCACCCTTGCTTTGGAACTGCACTGAAGTTCAGACCCACAACTGCCAGTCTGACATCTAATCAACTACACAAATCTAATCTAGCGTTTAACTGCATCATAATCTGATGTATAAATCTGAGAGCATATGTGCATATTCGCTCTGGATGAAAAGACAATTTTGTACTAATAACTCAGAATTAGTTCTAACTGGGTGTAGTAAGTTTCTAGTCTTGCAAAATGCACAGTGGGGTTAACTAACACTTGGCATCCTGCACCTTCCAAAATTTAAGTCAAAATTATTTATGGAAGTTACTGAAGTATGAATCCTTAAGGATGAAAATTTATGCAAAGAGCTCATACAGAAGTGGCACAGTAATATGGGCATTCTGCACTGCTCTGACTGGGCTGACTTAAAGATATTTCAAGTTTTCTGGCAAGGTTAATCCTTCTTCTTGGCAGATTCTCAATTCCTCAGCACCTTGTGTGCAGGGGACTCCTCTCCAACAGGGACTTTCTTATTTATAGTATGTAGTTCAAAGAACACAAGGAACACTTATTTTCACAAGACAGAGATAAATTTATATAGGGACAAAAATGCATTTCCATTATAGCCTTACATTTCAACAGTGCATGACTATTAACATAAATATAAGTCTTTGAACAAAAAGTACAGTAGCATATCACTGGAGTGTCAAAACCCCTTCCCCAGCTTCAGAACCAGGACTTGAACATCAGAATACGGACAGACATCACCAACCAGTGCTGCATTTGAAACAGCAGACTCTGGTGAAAGAACTCCCGGTGCGAATCCCTTCATACAGTTAATTCCCTGAATTTTTTAATCCTTCTACCAACAGCACCCTTCCCCTCCAAAATACAGTGTTATTTGCAACAGTAATTGCACACAAAGTTCTCAATCAGTTAAAAGCCTTCTGTAACTTAGGAGTGTTATTATTCATGCTCTTAACGCCTTGCACATGCAGCAGAAAATGAATGCCACAATGGGGTCACATCAAGTAAAAATCATTTTGGAAAAGTATTTTTCATTGCAAAACATGTCAGTTCTTGTAAACAACAGAGTGCAACTTCATTTGTGCATTCAATCTCATACTAAGCAGAGACAAGAGGCAATAGAAACTGGCAGATGACAGAAGACAAGGAAGTTTAAATCCCATGCCTGACAGCTTGAAAAACAAAGACAGCATCACAGCATAATTATTTGGGCTAGAAAGGACCTCAGGAGGTTACCTAGACCAATCTTCTCCTCAAAGCAGGGTTAACACTGGGTTGAAACCAGCCAAAATATGTTTCAACAAAAATGGACCTTCCTTCTTTAAGCATTTAAACGGAGATCAGCAGCTAATGTGCACCCAGTACAGTGAACTCTTAAACTATGTGCATATTGAACAAGAAAAACTGAGCAACTGGGTAACTAAAATATATACACACAATGTACATGTTTAACCATTTCTTGTAGTCATGTAACTTGAGAAAAAAAACTTTTCATATTAAACCATAGTTGTTTTATGGGAGTGACTTCTAACAAGCATATAGTTCTTGTAAACACAGGCTGCATTGGTTGCAGTGCAAAACTCCTGAACTGTGAACAGACATTGTATTTTCAGCTAGTACTGTGGTAAAACCACATAATCCTCAGAAGCAAGAAACAGTGCAACAATTCATACATCACTCTTTAATTTTTAATTTAGTAATTATTGAATGGTTTCAGAGCAGGCACTACATTATTGCAAACACAATCAAATCCTTAACATAATGTTGAAAAATAACCTCTTCACCTCAGTGTACACACACGCATATACACACACACATAATTTAAAAAAATCTGTACATAAGTTATTTTTCAGAAAGCAACTCAAAGAATTGTACCACACAGAATTAGTTTCTGTACTCTGACACACCACAAATTATAATCCATTTTTTGATGATAGGCTTTAAGGACACAAAACACCATGCAATACTATTTAGTAGAAAATAAACTAAACAGTAAATAAATTTATCTAGTTCGTGCTAAGAGAAAACACATTTTTTTTTAAATAAAACAAATGCTAATTTATGAGAAATCAAAAATATTTATTGTCCTTGAGCTTGAAGAGGAACCAGTTATCTGTGGCTCCTTAAGCTTATCCCCTTAGTAGGTGAGAGTGAGGAGGTGTATGACTATAAAAACCAGGATTCTTCTTATTACTGGCTGCAAAGACGGTTCAGGAAAGGAGTATCCTTGTTGAGTCTGAGTCTGAGAGTCCATCTTCTTGATTAGTGGCCTCGTAATCACCCGCGTTCTCAGCTAATTCAGTGTCTTGATCATCATTACTCTCTGCACTGTAGTCAACTTCTTCAAGGAAGCGAGGCTCATCTTCATCCAAAACATACGTAGTAGGGCTGAAATGAACAAGAGGTTGTTAAAAGCTTTACCTCGAACACAACATTCAGGCCATGCCCCATCCCTATCCCAACATGCAGTAATCTACAACATGACCTCAGGGTAGCAGCGGTTTACCCAAAACTGATTTTTTAATTGCACGTGAAACAACTGAGAGCCAAAAACACATTTGTAGGACCCTGAACTAATTGGTGGATCATACATAACTCGTTATCCAAATGTGCCATGACAAATCAACTATATGTTACAGAATTACACTAATTGCCTGTGCAAACGTTATACAATTATAGCATTACCATAAGTTGTTACAGGACTCAAATGCAGAAACAGTATCTGCTATAAAAAAAAAAATAAAACATACCACAGTCGGAGAATTTGGGTGGGAAACCTGCGTATTTTACTAAATACTTTTTACTGGAAAGCATTATGAGCAATTATACTGCACATACTGCAGATGACAAATCGAGGCAAGTGTTTCTGGCCTACAACTAAAATTAAGTTGCCATTTGAGTCATAAGATTTATATCTGGTCCTCACATTGTCACGGTCCACAAAATGATCCATGCTTGTAACTAATAGCCTCCAAGAATAAGAGAAGTAATACTTTGAGTGTGAACAAGAGAAAGGTTAATAAGTAACTTTCTGATCATCTCACCTTCCTAAGACAGATGAAAACAAAAGTAAAACCAAATAAACAAACAAAAAAATTAAAAAAGCATGTGTGTTTTCCAGACCAAGTTTTACTACTCTCCCTTGGCACATAAAAAGCTATCTGCTTAAAACCACTCAGTATTGCTAAATATTTCATAAGTTGTTTTATATTCAGATGAAGTCCTAAGAAGGTTTTGTAATGCATTTTACCTAATAATCAACTTACGCAGAACTCAGCCAAAAGAGCATTCTCATAAGAAAAGGCATCAGGTACTTGTATAAATGTTCGCATATTAATTTTGATGAATTTTGTCTTAAGGCACACAGTTTATTGTGGCTGTGGCTTCAAAATTAAAAGGATTAGTCATTCCTTCTTTCTAGTTCTGTTAAGAGCTTAAGTGGATCACCTGAATCTGTAACGCAATCCCTATTCATTGTAAATAAACTTCACACTGTTTTCTTCTACCTATAATACCAATAACATGCTACACTAACATTTTCTGAAGTTGGCAATTAATTCATATTTTGGGAGAACAACAAATAGACAAACTCCTATTCCCAGTTTAGGAAAAAAAAAAAAAGACATAAGACCTAAAATAGTAATAAAACAAACAATCAAAAATTCAATTCAGTTGGAGCCTCTGGATTTACATTTAAAACAATCTGTACCATAGTTCAGTAAACAAGCTATTCGGTGCAAAAGGGAGTACTCCACCAAACTAAATACTTGCAAAGGTTATTTAAATTGCAACTAGGGCAACAACCCGCTATGTTGGTTAAAGAACTGGTGCCAGCTCTTTGAACAAAATTATTTCCATTTAGGAGAGAGACCATGTGAGGAAAACAACCAGTATCTTCACTGAGCTGCCTCTTCATTTCACAGGTGGGCAAACCACTGTACTGTAAGTAAAGATACACACTTCATTTGAAGAACCTGCTGTAGCCCCAGGAAATGTATACAGTTTTTTTGAGCTTTCATTTTGTGACGCTTTATGCCCTAGGCAGTTACTGCCTGCCAAGATTTTCCTTTAAGGGGAGAAAAAAAAAAAAAAAAAGCCGAAATGTTTCCTTTATTTCAATGAGATAGCACCAAATATATCATATTCCAAAAAATGCACAGTTTTTTGTTTTTTTTTTTTTAGGTCCTGCTTCTAACCACTTAACACAGGTATTGATTTGCTGGGTTTCACATGCAAGGAATCCACACTGCAATTGCAGGATAGATTGTGTAATTCAATTCACAGGAAATGGACCCATTAAATCTGAATGTAGGCCCTATCTAACTAATAATTCTGAATACTGAAACAAAAAACTACAATGGGTTGTGTCAATGACAAATACTTTATTAGCCATTGACAGTGAGATATTAATGCATTACAGTAGGCACTCAGAAAAATTCACATAAGTGAGGTATTATATAGGCTAGTAAAGCTCTCTGAAAAACTTTTACCACTTTTTTTTTTTTTTTTTTTAAAGTCAATTTCATTGTTTGGAAATTAAGCTTCAATATTTAATCCAGTACAAAAATAAATAAGTAAATAAAGCAACCAACAAGCCTATTTTAAAAAGTAGCAAACAACGAAGCTTATTTTAAGGGGAACACACTGAACTGGACAAACTAGCAAACCACAAAGTTTACCATGTAGAAATGCCTTGTCAGTTCATAGAATATGTCCTGCTGTACACTGTGTTGCAAAACAATCCGTCTGTACTGTTATTTGTCTGCACACAGTACACATCTGTACTGTGTTATTTGTTATGTTTATAAAAATTTATTTCATATAATCACATATGTATGCACACTTCTGGCTTTTAGAAATTCAGCCAGTGTGCAAAGTCTTAACGTTGTTATGTCTGATATATGACAGTTTAGATGTTTGCTCTGGCATGTATACATGCAAAATTCTTGAGGATGCTTTTAGTTGCCATTTCCGGTATAATAAAATCAACATTATAAATTTCATTATTCTAGAAAAGTACCAGTACAACAGATAAACTGATCTCACTCTCAAAACTGCATAGACTTTTAATGTAGAAACTGGCTCCAAAATCTGCCTCATAAGCTTCCTACTGCCCTCCAAAACACAATGTGCCACCACTTCTCAATCATTAATTATTGAAAACAAAAGTTAGGATTAAATATATTGAGATGACTTTTCCCATTTTCCCTTTCTTGAGTCTTTGTTCCTCACAAAATGGTATGCCAGAATGTTTTACATCCAAAGGAAAAACCTGTTGCATACCGCTCACATACATTTGCTTTGCCATGGCTTGTCTTCTTCTAACGTATCAGATGCTAACCTTGGATATTCAACTTTCCATCAGTCTTTATTCTACAGGTTAGCGTGAACCTGCAAACTATAGTTACTGCTTCACTGCTTTACTGAGGCTTGGCTACAAGAAATGTAGACATCCAAACACCTGAAAAAATTTCTTGCTGTTTAATCAAATCCTTCGTTTGCCTCCCCACCGCTCCCCACCCTCAGCATATCTTGTGACAATATACTTTTAGCTGCCATCATGCTGATTCGGTGGGTTTTAATTTCCTAACTTTTCCCTTGGGCTGTTTCTAATTAACTTGCTCAATAATCCCTCTTCCTCTACCCCTATGCCTCCTGCATTTGCTTTTAAAAGGAAACCATTATTTTTCTCAAGTTAACAGAGATTGTTTATCATACAGCCACAGTTTGTAGCCTAATGGATGTTATAATCGGTGTATCTTCTGTGAACTTTTGCAGAGATTTTACTTGAATAACATTTTACGGGTAAAAAGAATAATTCCTAAATGTCAAGTAATATACCTGATACAATTTTTTGGTCCTCATATTTATGAAGAACTTCAATAATATTCCTTTAATATAAAAAAGTGCATTTCCTACATCACCTGCCATCAAACGCACTGAATTTAGGTATGAACACAGAAACTTACTAAAACATTTATTTTTAACAACAATGCCTATGTTTTTTCTTATTTAAATTAATGCTCCAAACATAAATAAACAAAAATAAACCCATTTGCTAACATGATGTATTTTTTCAAGCTAAAATTTTATTTGTCCCTCAAAGACATACTTGGATTTTTCATTATCCATATGACTCAATTACAGAGAAATTAATCCACAAGCCAGACACAAACACAACCAATTTCAGGCCCATGGAGATAAGCCATTTTCTGAGACTACAGGGGAAGCGCACACATTTAAAAACTTCTGAAGAAAAAATATAAGAAATGTTCTCTGTTGAGCAGTGTAAAGTTGCTGCTGCCTGGGGATTTTGGAAAGGAAGGAGAGAAAAATCTAAGAACTAACAACTTCTTTTAAAATTGCAATACCAGGGGAGGGAAAATTTTTAAGGAACAAAAGAGTCAGGATGTACCACAAAGGAATCATTTATCCATTCCTGTTCCTTGATTTCCCTTTAGGGTCCACATTGTTTTATAGGAATAAGCAAAGCTGCAACAGGAGTGCTGTGCCCTTAAGGAGCTCTTCACCTGTGTGCTGTTCCCAAATCAGTACGGATAGTTTGTGAAGAGAATTTCCAATACTAAAGAGAACAATTACATGTCCAACTCCTTTCTCAACCACGAGTAGCTGTGTATCCAAATCCCATTTAAGTTTTATTTTTCAATATCCCCACTTACAGCATTCCATTATTTCCCTCCACAGTTTAACAAAAAGTAATCTCAACACTTTCTGTGTGGTATCACCCTGAAATACATCTTGTAAAACTCAAAACTGGATTAAATTGGGTGGATTCCACAACTGTTGACTTTAGTACTTTACACCCTAATATTTGGATCACATTACCAAGAATGGAAGAGAAGCGTGAAAAGTGGATCACAGACACACAGAATGGGTGAGGTTGGTGGGGACCTCCAGAGCCCACCTGGCCCAACCCCTGCCCAAGCAGGGCCACCCAGGGCCATGTCCAGGCGGCTTTTGCAGCTCTCCGAGGAGGAGACTGCGCTGCTGATGTGGGCAGCCTGTGCCTGTGTTATAGCCGGTGCCCGGTGCCTCTTGTCCTGGTGCTGGGCACCACTGAGGAGCCTGGCTAAGCCATCCTCTTTGCACCCTCCTCCCTTCAGGTATTTTGTACACATTGATGAGATCCCCCGAGCCTTCTGAAGACAGCTCTCAGGAGAGGAGAGCACCTCAATAGGAGAGGTGCTCCAGTCTCTTCGTTGTCCTTGTGACCCCATATATCTTTTCAAAAAATATATATCTTTTCAAAGATAATATTAATATTGAAATAATATTAATATTGAAAAGATATATCTTTTCAATTTATCCATGTTTCTCTTACACCATCGTTCTGTCTGAGCAAAGCTTATGAGTTATTAAGATGAAGG